CCGTCTTAACGTTGTTAGAACAACGTGTAAAAGTTGTAGTTAGTGATGAGTTGGCCAAAGTAAGTAAAAGAAAGTAAACCTACAGACATCGGTCTTGTTTAACAAAATATGTACTTATATAAACTATATATCTACTTGGGTACATACTACGTACATATATATACGTATATCATACCTTTTATTGGAATTATACAAATTAATCTATAAACATTTAATTAGTTTCTTCTTCTTCTTTAGATCAAATGATATGTTTTGAAAGATGCATACAAATATTGAATTGTATCATGTACTTAACCTGTGTAGTTGTGTTCAACAGAATTAAACTTAAGCTACTGTCTTAGAATTATTTTTACTTAGGAAATTTCTATTTATTAAATTGGTGATTTTTCTAAATAAAATTAGGATGGCATCCCAGCAGAAATAACAGCCTTGGCTCAAGGTTTTACTGATATTGGAGAGTTGCTGAATAGATTAAGAAATGTAAGTTGAAATATTACCTAGTAGTTTGGTTGAGTAAATTGCAGTTCATGTTTTAATTAAATGTCTTTTTAATACTTGTAATAAAATAATGTATTTCACATACTTATCCTAGTAACGTGGTATGTATATGCTTATTCAAGTTTCTTTTCTTTATAGCAGATGACTTGCAAGTTTATAAATGTATTAATGTAGAAATATATCCATTCATGGAAGTGTAGAATTATTTCTAATGTGTCACATCCTGGTTATTTAAAATAGCAGCGACATTTGTTTGATTACTTAATGTAAGTCATAGCAAATTTTATCTTTATATGCAAAATTGTAAAACTTTGAAGAGGATTTGAAAAATAAACTGCTGGAGCTCACATTTATGCTGAGTTTATAAATACACTTATGTTTAAAAGTAAAAGGTTTTACACTAATCTATGATCATTGTAAATTTATTAGTTTATATTGTTCTGGAGCTTTATATGAATATAAAATCACAGCAAACTAATGATTTATGTTGTTTGCCATTAGCTGAAACCTTTTCTTTTTTCCCATAGGTTAGTGTTTCTTTACTATAGGAATATCAAAACAGTAAATATTTTGTGTGTATGTCAAAATATCTTCAAAGATGGTAGAATGTCAGATCATGGTTTTAATTTTTTTTTACTAGAACTGGAATAAATGTATGCAATTTTTTTTCCCCTTTATTATGAAATTCTTATACACTTTACCAGAGCAACAAGTAGCTCACTGTAATGTAATTTATTGGCATTATGTCTTTTATATAAATTTTTTTAGTGCACATTTTAGATGGAATTGTAATCTATGTGTATAATTCAGTGGTTGATATTTTTCTCTTATATTGGTCAGTATTTTTTCTTTTTATAAAAGATCATTCCGTATCTTTACAAATCAGTTTAGTTAGGAATAAATTAAAAAAAGAGTTCTTGTAGGATTATGTCAATCCCAATTAAGGCTGGTTTCTGTGGGCAACTTTTGTAACTAAGATTTGTATTCTGTTCATGTTACATTGAAATGGGCTCCAAGTATGCCCATTTCAATGAAGCATCTTTTCCTGCCACTAACAAAAATCAACTCAGCACAAAACATTTTAACTCTCCCTGTTAATTATGCTGATTTCAACAAGTGAAAAGTTGCTCAGCTTTTCTTGAATTTAATCAAAAGCTTGTCTGTGTTCAATGAAGTATTTTCATGTTTTGAGTTCGAAGTAAATCTATAAAAATATTAATTAAAAGCTCAGTATTACTTGCAATCCATGACTCCAGCTTGAAAAACATAATGTACTGATGGCATAAAAGTCTTTGGAATCAGCCTGTAATTTTCTAATTGGAAATTTTAATTATGCATATGTCTTTTTTTAATAGGAGCAATTACGTGAAGATTACATAGCCCAACTTATTCCTACAACTCAGCCTATTTCTCGCGTGAAATTGAAGTTATTTGGTCACAGTGGTGTCGGGAAGACAACATTAGTTGATTCATTAAAATGTGGATACTTCAGCAGCTTTTTCAGAAGATCTCGAGCATCATCTCCAACTCCTTCTGATCACAGAAAATCTAAGAACAGTTAGTGTTACATGTTCTTTATTATTCTCTTTCTCTTAAGAAAGTAAGCTTTCAACTTGTTTATGCTCACTGCATCTTTAAGCTGTAAAAAAAAAAAACTCATTCCAACAGTGAACTTTTCAATATTCCTGTTTGTGATTACCCTTATATTGTTTTAGTAAAGTACGTCAAAATATTTAATTAAGTTTTTTTTAATGAATCTCAGGTTTTTTTCATTTCTTTCAATGGTACAATAGTAAAAGTTCAGAGAAAGTTGTGTTCAAATAATATAACTTACTTTTACACTAATTTTAGATGTATAAGCACTATATATGAGCTCTTGGGAATTTTGCAAAAACAATAAAATTTTGGCCTTCTAAAATTTGTAAATTTTGATTCAAGAAAACATGTTTCACTCTAAAATGCACCTTGATGTTTCAGAACCTTCCATTCTGTAAAGAACGTATAAACGTTTGTATTATTCATTTTGATGTATAAACTATAATAACCTTTACATATAGCACCTTCATTAGTCTATATGGTGGACCTTAATCTGTATTTTTAATAATAATATTCAGTCACAGAGAGCTAAGATTAAAGTAGTTTGTATATATTCCATTCAACCAGGTTGTAATTCCAGTACTTCAAGCATAGAGCTAAGTGTAGCTACCTCTAACAGTATTCCTTTGATATTTGAGACTAACATGGAATATTATACAAAAGGTGTGGACATACAGCAACTCAGCATCCCAGGTTTGTATTTTGAAATATGAAGTACTAATATGTACAAAGGTGATTATTGATAATGAAATTTTTAAAAGATTTAAACATTAAAATAAACTTTGATCATCATATAGAAAGTTGTTTCAAACCATATTCGAATATTTTCAGTGAATAACAATAAATTTTGGTACACTACTTTGTTAGCTCTTGATGTTGGTTAACCAACTTTACAAACTTGTGTTATATGCTCAGGTTTTTACAGTATTTCAATCCCTAGGCTGCTGACAGTTTTGAGTTTTATTAAACAACTTTTATTCATAATTTTTAAGCTGTTTAAATACCTTTAAATTGTACTTTGAAGGATCCTTTCTCTGAAGTAGTTTGTTAAAGTTTTTAGTAAGTGGTTTAAAACTAAACATCATAGAAAATAATATTGAGACAAGCTACTTGATGAAATTAGAGTCTGTGCAATGTTTGTTTAAAGCAATACCGAAATTCAGATCTAGATTAAAAAACAAAGCAAGGAGCCCAACATTTTATAAATAACAAATGTAGAAACATGATTTTAAACATTGCCTAATAGTGTAATGAATAGTAAAATCATGAAAGACTTTCATAATGTGCTACATCTCTGACTTCAGAATGTTTTAATGGTTCTATAAATTGTTTATATTTTAGAAATTCAGATTCAAAATTTCATCATCTCTTGTATAGGTGTAATTTTGTTACTAACATTAGACATGGTTTTGCTGTTTGGATAAGTCACTGTTTACAAATGGACATAATATTTTTTCAGTACTTTTGTCTGCCATCTTGTTTTCCAATCTGATAAGAAGTTTAAGTAGAATACACTTTAGAAAACATGAAAAACAGTTCCTGTTATGTAGAAGTAAAACCTCACAATCTTTAAGTTTTAATTTGTAGTTTCAAGTAATGTATAATGAACTGTAGAATGTGCCATACTGAGTACTTTTATGGTTTTTTGTGTAACAACAATCATTATAAAGAATTGACTAAAATGTTTCAGTTAAAATCACTCATTTTCTATGTAAAGTATGTAGGAAACCATAGGCCCCCTCATGGTTCAGAGGCCACAATAGAGCAATCAAGTACTGCTGTTAAACACAATTACTTCTGTAGCTACCCCAAAGGGATCCATCCTCTAAAAAATCTCTTTAGAAAACCTATCTCTGGTACTTTAAAGCATGTACCACATTTGGTCTCACTAACTTGTGAATGAGGTATATACATAACTTCAATTAGGTAACCCCAGAACCCTAAGAAAGGACAATGAACACAAAATTAAATGTCAGATTTGGGTTCAATAACTCTGTAAACCTATTCCTTGACCCCATCACACCTGGGTAACCTTCTAGGTACATTTTAGCTCTTCTTAGTTATGGTATATGGCATACTTCTGTAGCTACCTCAAGGGGGTTCAACTTGTTGTATGGCATACTTCTGTAGCTACCTCAAGGGGGTTCAACCTGTTGTAGTATTTAGGAATATTCAACATTTGTTTCCACTAACTTATAGTGCTCCTGAGATTTTGAGGGGGGCCAGAAACACAAAATACGATGCAAGGTTCAGGTTAACTGACCCTTAAAATCTACTTCCAGACCTTATTATGCCAGGGTGACCTTCTGGTTGCATTTGGTTAGGGGTACTATGCCATATAGATAAGGAAAACCCTAGGCCACCCTGAGTCTGCCTATCAAGTTTGGTTCTTTAGGACGAGCTTGTGGACAATTTAAAAAATAGGATTATTTATTGCAATATAGACAGTACTTTGTGTGTGTGTGTGTGTTTTTGTGACTCATGCTATTAGGGACCCTATAACCAACAAATTCAAGGGCCAATACCACAATCTGGTGCAAAATAATTTTAAAAAATGGACCCCATCAATAATTCTAGAGTTAAGTAATGATCTAAATTTATACATAAATATGAATTTTAAACCATACAAGCTAAAAGAATGATACCTGATGTTGCGACTATCACTGGCAATCATTTTCAAGGGTCTAACAACCTATTATTTTAAAACTTTTAACAGATCACATCATTGATTGAGAGAATGACAAAATTTTAAACATTGAACAAAATCATATCTACTGGAGAATTTTAGAAGGATGGCATATAGCACATTTTGGCCCAGCTCTTGTTATCAGAGATACAGATCAATTCTTCCTTCACCAAGTGCACAAACCTTTATTACTGTGTAAAGACAAGCAACAGATGACAATATATAAAGTTAACTATTGATGTGATTGCACAATTTTTCAGACCCTTGAGAATGATTTTTGATGGATGAAGTAAAAAAAAAAAGAGGCTGGTTTTATTCTTTTAGCTGTTTTTAATTTTAGATTCATATTCAGTTTCGTTGTCCCAGCAATTCAGAATCATGTTACTTGTAAATGTATACATTTTTTTTACTAACTTAAAATTTCCTTAAGGATGCACATTACTTTTTCAAAGACTACTGTAATTACTGTTTTTCCAATAACACCAGGTGTTGGAGACCTTAGTGTGTGGGAATTTTCTGGTCACGAACCTTATTTCATTGTCTATGACCATTTTATTGGTAACACCAACTGCCTTCATGCTATAGTGTTTAGAATGAATGACCCACCAGAAGTACGTTATCAACAAATTCTCTTCTGGCTTCATTTTCTTCAAGTTCGCATTCCACCCATTGAACCGTTGAGTGAGTACTATAACACAGTTTATTTTTCTTATATTCACACATATATAAATATATAAAAATACACATACTTACATGTATAATAGCCTTTATTAGTAACATCTGCTTCCATGAATGCATGGTTCTGTGGAGGGATAACTGTGGAGTTCCAAAGAAGGATATTTATGTGTGTATATGTAAATGTTTGTTATAACAATATACTATCCAGTGTTACTTATACAAGATAAAAACATTGATTCAACAATTATGACTGAGAATCAAAGAGAGAAGCAAATCATTTGACTGATTATATTACAAGTGATTATTGGTTTATGTTAACATTTACAGTACTTGTATATGTGTTTATTTTTCTTAACGACAGTGTAAGTTGAATGTGGAAGCTTTTACTTCATTTGTGAGACAGTATAGGTAATTTCCAAAACTGGCTTACCCCCTCTCTCACAAAAGCTATCTCGATCGTGACTGCCCTCTAAGCATTGTTAAAAGAATTTTAGTAATCTGCGCAACAGTTTTGCACCATTTCTGAACATGTAAATATCATGTGAATACTCTCTCTACCAATAGTATTGAACCACCTATAATGGTGCAACTAGCTCCCTCTCTATTCCTGCTCAGTTTACACTTTCTCGATTGACGTGACACTGTTTAGACGTGTGTGACTACAGTTTTTGGTTATACTTTGTTGCCTTTTCAATCAAGATTTAATCTCACAATTTTTTTAATTTTGCATTTGTTTTCAATTGTTTCTACAATTTTACATTCAACCAAATTCTTGTTTCTGATTTCTGTGTTTTTAATATGAATTTGAGATTTAATGTAGTGGACAATGATATTTCTGCCTTGGCATGACTTCCCAGGACACAGGATTGACTTTATCTGCTGATGAAGCTCAAGCATTGGTTTGCAGGGAATTAGAGTCTTATGTTTGGCTGGCAATTTTTTCTCCTCGTCCACCTAACCATGTTTCTAAGGAGACCTACCTTCACGAGGATGAGAATTTAAATTTGGACTCTTATCTTTCCAGCACCTTTCTTTTTTCACCTTCCACTCCATTATTACAACTTGTCAATAAGGTATGTCTTGTTTTAGGTGATTCCCGTATAGCCTATGTTTCCTCCCCTGCCTTATTGTGTGAAAATCTACCTTCCAATTATTATATTTTTCCTTCTTCTCCTTATATAAGTGTTCTTTCTCAGAGATTTTCTGATCAACTACAGTTGGGTATAGGCATGCCCCACCCATTTCATTTGTTGGATCAATATGCTTTGGCTTACAATCATGTCTCGGTTTTGGATTCTCAGATCCTCTCCTTTCTCAGTGGGGCTCCAATTCTGGGGTTTCTGTCTGCTTCAATCATGTGCAATTTTCCAGGATTCACCTTTCTCTGACCTCACTTTTAAGCTACCTTTCCTCCCTCCATTTAATGTCTAATGCCTTTCATCAATCTCCTGATGTTTTTTCAGAAGAGCACAAGATGATCCTTTGGCTATATGGCTCATTTATTGGCCTCTAACCTTTCCCTCAATAGCTGGCTACTTTGCTTTCGGGACTTGTTGGAGAAGAGATGCTTTACTAGAAGAAGTTCGTCTCCCCTTTCCTCCCTACAAGATATCTGACAGGCCCCTCTCCTACATGATTCCCTTTTGGGGGTCGTCCAGATTCCCTAGAATCACGGATTGATGTAGCTAGGTTATATTCCTCCTTATCCTCCCTAGTCACACATTTGTCTCATCCTTCTTGGGATTCTTCCTCACTCAGTCATCTTGCTGAGGCCATTCAAGACTCCTACATGTAGGAGCTATCAAGCTGGTGGTTCCCACTCATTCAGGTTTTTGTTCCTGTCTTTTTGTGTTCTCCAAAAAGATGAGCGATTAAAGACCAATTACAGATCTGTCCTGGGTGAATTCCTTTCTAGGGCTCCCTTGCTTCACCATCGAGTCCTATCTCTCACTTTGATGGATGTTTTCCACAGGACTCTGGAGGACCAAATTCAACATGATGGACACGTATCTTCACATTCCCATTGCTCTAGAGTCACATCATTTTCTCCAATTTGTCTGTGAGGGTCAAGTGTTCCAGTTCAGGGCACTGCTATTCAGTCTCTCTTCAGCTCCTTATGGGTTTTGTCGAGTAATTCATTTGTTTACTCATCACTTGGGGCTTCGCACTCATCATTATATGGACAACTGGCTCCTGCTCACCTATTCCCATTCACAATCAGTGAATCACACATGTTTGCTTCTATAGGAAACAGCACGAATGAGTTTTCTGATCAAGTTGGAGAAGTCTGTTCTTACCCCCACTCAAAACCTGGTTCATTTGTGGGGTTTCTTCAATTCACACGTAAGTTGGGCCCAGCATTCTACTCTTTGTCCCTGGGATATGCAATAGGCAGCTATAAAGGCCCTTACCTCTCCTTCTCTTACAGCATGAAAGATTTTATCTTATTTGGGGATGTGGGCTTCCTTGGAAGCTCTGATTCCTATGGGGTTGAGCTCATATATGTGTTCACTTCAGTGGACACCTCTCAATCAGTGGAAATCCTCCCTTGATTCTTTGGACCATCCTGTTACCCTTCCTCTCGTGATCAGGGCACCTGTACTCCCGTTCCAATCCAGATAGGCCTCTTTGTCTGGTTTGATCCTTGAGGTGTTATGTGGCTCATACTGCCTCCTTTCAGGGTTCATGCTCCCACTATTTATTCCTTGGAACCATTCTGTTTCCCATGATCTATCTCCAGTAACTCTCACTGGTTGGGTTTGTCAATCCATCAAGATGGCATATTCAGATTTGTCCATGGAAGGTTGCTGTCTCCACAATGTCTCTTCACATCAAATTTGTCACATTGCTTCCCCTTGGAAAAAACGTTGTGGCTGGTATGTGGACAATTCTCAATACCTTTGTTGCTCATTATCTGCACAATCTGGCTGTTTCTACTTATGGTGGATATTGTCTTTCTCTCGTGGTGATTCTGCACCCTCCGTTCACCTTTAGCTGGGGTACATCTACTCATTTCCTTTCTTTTAATGTTTTCTTTTCAGCTTCCCTAAGCTTCTTTAAAGATCTCGCTTAGTGGCAGGTGTTGCCTGATCAGGTGTGCTTTTTCTCAAACCCACAATAAATGCAGTAACTATATAATGCTCACATTTGAGATAGGGTGTTTCTCTAAGACCACTGGGTACTTTTACAGTGGTGTATATCTATGTATTATAATTATATCTTTAGTGGATTATCATTCATGGACTTCAGAAGTAAAGCCCATCCCTGCCAATCCTTTGATTCCTTAATCAGGTTCGGTCTGCTTTTCAAAATAGGGAAATGCAGTCACCCATTATACTGTCTCCTGTGTGACATTCCTCTGGACTCCCCATAGCCTTTTTACCACCACCCCTACCGCCTTTTTCTTCAAGTGGAGCTAGGGAATCTTTACCACTCTCAGTTCCCAGTCGCTAGGGTGGTGGACAATGGATGCTTCCTCTGAGTGTTACTATACTTATGCTCGTTTATCTACTCAAGAGAAGAGGGCAAAGCTAGTTTTCTACTGGTGCTTCCCCTGGATGTTTTCTGCCTGGGTGGACTGCACTGAATAGAACCAATGATCAATTATTATTTGGGGCCAGCCTACATGGGATTCTCTTCATAATTCCAGGCTCAGGATGACAACACCCTGTTCCTGTGGTTGTGTGCAACAGACACCTCTCTTCTCATTAATTCCAGTTGCAGAAGGTTCTATCCTACTTACTTCTATGGTTGGGTTTGAGAGACTTTGTTTGCTCATAATACCGGCAACAGGACTTCTTGCTCTGTTCCTATTGTTGTCCAAATGCTGTTGGTTCTCCTTGTAATTCTGGATATAGGATTTATGGTTGATTTTGCCCGTAATAACAGTTACAGCTTTCCCTGCTCTTATGGTTGAGTCGAGACAATGCTAAGACCCCATGATACCAGGTTCGGTTTGTTGTACTTCTTGCTGTCACGGTGGTTTTGGGAGTTTGTCCAGTTATAACTATTTACTCACTTCCTCTTTGAAATTCTGGTTGCTTGATGTATGCACTCTGTTTACTTACGGTTGAGGTTGTTTGGCATTGATAACACAGTACATATGCCCTAGCCACCTGTTGTTATTACTTTTTTTTTATCTTGTTATATGTTGATACAGCTTGCACCTTCTTAATGCTCTTACAGTTGTGCAAGCATTACCTTTTATGTTACATTGCTAGTTCCTCCAAGCATACCCATTCATTCTGGGCAGTCACTTTCTGCTTAGTTTGTTCTTTGTACGGCTACATTGGCCCTCCACCTTTGCAATGTGGGATTCTAGTCATTGTTTGAGAGGAGGTAAGTTTGTTTCAGAAGTTAATATTTTCTTACACTGAAAATGTATTTGTGATAAGTACTTGCCTCCTCTCACACACTTCCAACCCTTTCTCCCCACTAAAATCAATGTTTTTATTCTAGTACTGCCAATTCTCAAAAGTGAGGATTGAGCGGGAATAGCAGGGGGAGCTAGTTGTGCTGTTATAGGTGACAAAATACTATTGGTGGAGAGTAGTCACATGATATGTACATGTTCAGAAATGGCAAGAAACTGGTAGGGTATAATGACTGGTGCACTGATTACTAAAATTCTTGTAGCAATGCCTAGAGGGCAGTCAATGATAGAGATAGCCTTTCTGTGAAAGGAGGTAAGTACTTGCAGAAATACATTTTCAGTGTAAGAAAATGTTAACTTTCATAATCATAACTGACTTTTTTGTCACATAATAACTTTTACATAAAGCTCTTAACACCCAAATCTAGGGAGTATATATATCTGTACAATTAATCTTTTTTGCATCAATGAGCACATTCCTGGTATCAACTGCACACTTGCACATCAGATTTCAGAATAATTATTAATTTTAATTATTTCAACAAGATTTTATTCAAACATATTTTTGAATTGATATTTTTCATTTCATAACATCTGTTTAGTGAAATTCATGAAGAACAATGAAAGAAAAATGGTGTCATTGCTCATAAACCATAGAGATCACAATCAGAAATCAAATAATTACATTGTAGTTTTAAATCTTTATCTCTTGGTATGCTATACCATTGCATTTAATAATTAACGTTTTAAAAACTCCAATATGTGCTGTTTTCTTTGGTTTGAGGTTATTTTTATGTTGTTTTTTTAGGTTATTGTGGTAGAAGCAAAAATCCTGCTAAAGTTGTATTAATAGCTACTCATGCTGATGTGGCTGGAATATACCGTAACTCCTCTTCTGGAGAATATATGAACACAGAAGTAACCCCAATGTTGCAAGACCTTAGGAAACAGTTTGAAAATATTCTTGACTTGCATGATACTGTATATATCACAGATGCTCATGTAGCGGGATCCCCTGGCATGAAACATTTGAAACAGTATTTGAGTACAGAGAAAGTCAAGGTTGTTCAGGTAAGAAATACCACATTTCAGTGATTTTATTTGAGTGTTGTCCCTTGACATGGAACATCTTCTGAAACAATTTTTCAGTACAGAGAAAGTCAAGGCTATTCAGGTAAGAAATACCACATTTCAATGATTTTATTTGAGTGCTGTCCCTTGACGTGGAACATCTAAAACAATTTTTCAGTACAGAGACAGTCAAGGCTGCTCTGGTAAGAAATACCACATTTCATTGATTTTATTTGAGTGTTGTCCCTTGACGTGGAACATCTAAAACAATTTTTCAGTACAGATAAAGTCAAGGCTGTTCAGGTAAGAAATACCACATTTCATTGATTTTATTTGAGTGTTGTCCCTTGACGTGGAACATCTAAAACAATTTTTCAGTACAGTGAAAGTCAAGGCTTCGCTGGTAAGAGATACAACATTTCATTGATTTTATTTGAGTGTTGTC